CAGACAACGTGGAGGCGTGTGACATGGCCCATACGCCATTACTGTCCGCTTCTGTCGATGTGGCAGTCTACTGCCTCGCTCTAATGGGCACAGACCTCACTCAGTACCTTGTGGAAGCTAATCGAGTGCTAAAAGTTGGGTGAGTAACTTCAATTTTACTATAACGCGTGTCATTAAGAAACGGAATCATAAATGCCGGAAAGTACTCTTTTAAGTATGGAAAGCATATAAAAGTACTATTTATTTCTGATGACACTCACTATTAAAATTATTTTGAATGAATAAATAACACACCTTGTTTAGTGGCGGGTAAGAATATCTATTACCCGATATCTTCCCGTGGATATCGTAAGAGGCGGCAGAGGGAAACTTAGACAGAAGATGGGCAGCAGCATCTTTCTGATAACAACAAATTACAATAAAAAAAACTGCGGTTGCCAACCCGCTCGCCAAGCGTGGCAACTATGGCAATATACCCCCCCTGACTAGAGTTACAAAAAAACGGCCCCCAGTCTCCGGCGGCTGCGCTATTCCTGGCAACGGTGGCGACCATGGTAACGGCGGGGCAGGTGGTGTTAAGAATCAGTGGAGGTTCAGTTGCCACCTATGACTACTCGACCTGGCAATATAAAAAAATAGGATTGACTTCATTATGACGACCAGACAACAACTGTTCAGTGATGACTAGGTGATCGCGAGGAAGAAAACTGGCAGTGATCACCGAATGGTAAAAGGCACACTGTACCTAAACGTTAAGTTGGAGAGGACACGTCTAATGAAGTCAACGCTCTGTCCCCCTCGTGCGATTAGAGAAGGCAATTTATGGATTAAGGCAGTCATCAAGAATGTAGTATAATAAAGTAGATGTTTGTTTAAATGATAATGGATGCTCAAGTCGAAATATGAACCTTGTTAATTTATAAAGAATGAAGGTAAAAGAAAGACTATAATTGCTTTGTATGTCGATCATATTTTTGTTTTCTCTAATGATAGTAGTGAAATTAATAAGTTAAAAACTGTACTAGTCTCAATTTAATATTAAAGATTTAGGCTAAATAAGAGAATGTCTTGGCTTGTCAGTGTGCTATGATAAAGAAAATAAAATTCTAACTTTTGATCAAAGTAACTATATTGATCAGTTGTTATTAAAATTTAATTTATTAAATTGTAAAACAGTAGAAACACCAATGGAAAATGGATTAAAATTAGCCAAGGATAAGAAATGTGATAAAAATTTACCTTACCAGCAATTAATTGGCTGTTTAATGTATCTGGCAATATTTACTCGTCCTGTTTACTGTCAATTTAATAATAGTTGCAATAAGGAGCACTAGGCTCACGCCAAGCGCATCTTAAGACACCTGAAGCGAACTAAAGATTATTGTATTTAATATTGTGGTACAGGTAACAAAAAGATAATGGGCTATGTAAATGCAGATTGGGGCAGTGATACTTTAGATAGAAAATCATATACTGGGTTTGGTTTTATTCTCTCAGGAGGCGTCATTTCTTGAGTTGGTAAAAAACAGAAGAATGTTGCACTGTCAAGCACAGAGACCGAGTATATAGGTATTTCAGAGAGTTGTAAAGAGGCCATTTACCTTTGAAATTTACAGAAAGGAATTACTGGTAAATCAGACTATTTGATTTTTAACGACCACCAAAGTGTATGAAGTTTGTATGGACTACAAATAATTGTTCCGGGTATGGATGGTCTTTGAAAAAAAATCTCACTAGGTTTCTTACTGGTTCTTCCCAGGACAGAGATTTTTTTCGAACCAATGGTAAACGTAAAAAGGACATTCAATGAGATTTACATGTAATCTATATTGAATAAAAAATATTTTATTCTATGCTATTCGATTTTTGTCCTTCTGCAATTTTTGTTTGTAAACTGTCTTCACAATACAGGACAAAATTCTACTGTAGCGGATAGTATGTTTTAATCAAAAAAATATACTATTTTAATTTTTTCCACAGTGGACACCTCCTCATAGCTGAAGTGGAGAGCCGTTTCGACGACGTGGAAGCGTTTGTTAAAGAAGTGCAGCGACTTGGCTTCAAACTTAAAGAACTAGATAAGAGTCATCAGGTGTTCTTTTTCATGGAGTTCACCAAAACACAGGAGCCGCCCGTCAAGAAGTCAAAACTACCAATGCTGACATTAAAACCGTGTTTATATAAGAAAAGATAAAATAAAATACATAGTATATATAGGTAGTTGTATTTAATTTTGCAAACAGCTCTGGGTAATAAAGGATCAACCAGAATTTCGACACGACTACACCGTTTTCACAAATATACCTTTATTTCAAATTAAAAGAGTTAATTAATTTCACATGCTGAAATCGGTGTTGACATAGTGTATAGAACAATTTTAGACCCGACTCCAGATTGTATTTTTTTTTAATCTTTGAAGTTTAATTTTACTTTTTATTAGGGCGCGTTCCCAGGACACGCACCCGCTACGCGCGTTAGCACCCGCGTCTAACTCGCTTTGAAATTTGTTGCATATAATTTGAGTCTTATGGCAAATCAATAAAATTGTATAAAAAGCGCGTGCGAGGTGAGCGCGGGATCAGCGCGGAACTGTAACAAGGCGGGTGCTTGGCGTGGGCGAGGCGTGTACGGTTGAACGTCGATAAATGCAATTTCAGATTTGTTGATTTGTCATAAGACTCAAATTATATGCAACAGATTTCAAAGCTAGTTAGACGCGGGTGGTAACGCGCGTAGCGGGTGCGTGTCGTCGGCACGCGCCCTTAGAGATGAGTTGGGTAACCGGCGGATCCAGCAATGCCAGGTAGTTAAGAACAGCATAAATTTAAACTTAATCATTTTTATTTAAGTCGAAGAACAAACAATATTAACCTGTGATATATAAGCATTTTAAGTTTTTCGATACGATAACGAATAAATAAATGAATCTGATTTAAGTGAACAATAATACAGAAACAGCAATCCGTCCGCGGTCAAGTTCCCGCCAAAACTACTCGCCATTATTATTGCACGTATACAAACGTATTGTTGATGCAAACAACACATTTTTGGTGCAAGTAGCTATACAGGTCTAGAAAGACCAGTATCACTGTGAACTGTAAGATCTATTGTGATCGTTGCTATTATTTATTAGTTCACCGCTAAGCCCTATGTCTTCAATGAATTTAAGGAGTTGCTTAGATTTGAGCAATTTCACTTCTTCTGGGCGAAGTACATAGTTTCCCACATGAGGGTTACGTTTGCGAATTAAGGATCCACAATCAGTTAGGATGTGCAGAGGTGTTTCTTCCGTTAAAGAACAGAACCGGCTCATCCTTAAGTTGTTTAATCCCATAATGAACAAGTGCTTTTTTAGACAAGAGTGTCAGGACTTTTGCCATAATACACAATTTATTCTTACTTAATCCCAGGGCTTCTATAGCGAATTTACGATCATAAGCCCGGATTAAGGTATTAGAATGTTAAAACATTACCTGGTGTATAGAATAGAATAGAATATTTTTTATTCAATATACATTACATGTGTAATCCTTATTGAAAGTCATTAAGATATCAGACAAGATCGTAAGTTCATTGTCTACAATACCCGCATGACCCGGAACCCGTATCAAAACAACCCTGTTGTTACACCCCAGGGCGTTCAGACGGTTCATGCAGTCTCCAACTAGCTTCAAATATTTATATAAAACTACAACTGCAAGAATTCAAGATATTATAAGTTCATACTGCGTAGATCGTAACAAAAATTGATAATTTTTATATGTAGGTAGCTAGCTGTGGTTAACTACGACATTGGGACGTCGAGCACCTCAGTGCCCCTCGTGGCCATGGGTGCTGTAAAGTGCTCAAAACGTCGGGAATATAAGTATACTCGATAAAATCCGTAAAAACTAGTTTTATTTAAATGTGTAGTGTACGCGTAAATATAAGAAATCACTAGATTTAAACAACTCACGTCATGCACTTAATCGTTCGTTTACAAAGTTACGAGGATAGAGTAACATACAGAGGGTAAAGCGGGTGCGTGAAAGGAGTCACTAGAAACAACAATAAATAGCAATTTTTTTTTTTTTTGTAGAAAGCAAGTAGAATCGTACTAATGCGAATTGTACTAACCACTAAAAGCTATGGTTTTCGTTTCTACTAATTTACACTCCGAACACACTCCAAATGACCACTATAATATATTTTTATTAACAAAGATACGAACTAAGGACTAATGTTGCGTTTTACCGTGAACCGAAACGCAACAGTGACAGCAACAACCTGGGCCTATCAAAAATTTGAATTTTTGAACGAACATGGAAATTTTGTTTCACCATTAAGTTCTTAAATTATATACAAATATACAGTATAACAATTAAAAGCAAGATTTTCATTATTGGTTTCATTTAAATCAATATATTCATCACCCAAGAGCTCCTGCCGCATCCAGGGTCAGGATTTTGGGCAAACACTAATGAATGTCAAAATTGAAGTTTTGGCGTGAACTTGACCGTCGGCGAATTGTTGCTTCTGTATTTATTTTTACAATAATGGTTTTAAGTGAGTTTGTGTATACTGTCTACGATGCGAATGATTAGTGAAAACGAACAAATACTCCGATAGTAATGTAAACCTCATAATTATGTCTGCTTGGATGTATTGATTGATTGGTCATCGACTATAAAGTTCATACTGTGTAGTTCTTTAAACAATTATAATAAAAGAGAATTTCTTATTACTTGACAATGGTATAAGTAGAACCGGACGAACCCATTACCAAAGAAAGAATGTCGAAATGTCGTGAGTTCGAATCACTGTTAATGCAAATATAAGCTTAGTTTTAGCGGTTGATGAAATAATAAAAAATGCTTATTCTGTTGGAATGAAACATTATAATTGAAATACGTAATAACTGAAAATATTTTTTTTTAATTCATCACCAAATGTTAACACTGCTTTTGATCCTTAAACAAAATAATTAGTCAACAAAAATTGTTCTATTTGTTCTTAATTATTCATTTGACTACTAACTCCTCCATGACGTCTTCGGCTTCTGCTCGTAGATTTTCAACTTTTTCTATCAGCATCATCTGTATAGCGATTAAAAATTTTGTTAATACCAAAGTTAAAATATTTTTATTCAAATATGACCTTTACAAAGCACTTACTGAAAATAAAACAAACTACGTGATCGCTTCCAGCAAAGACTTTTTTATGTACTAGACCGGAAATTCAGAACAAAAATCGTGTCACAGCTGTGGATTGCGCCGGACGGGAGAGCGCGCGTGCAGCTTGCACGGTTAATATATCACTGTTTTTAGGCAAATAAAGTTAAAATCACGTGGAAAAAAATTTACAGCATAGGCTGTATACTGAGCACAGGATTCCTCTGACTTCTGAGAGGGTTTTAGGGCAAGGAATTGTCCGCCGCTCTGCCCCAATGGCGAAGTGCACACATAAATAATGACTGTTGAAAACAACGTTCGCTGTTTACAAAACAAGGAGTTACGGAGAATTGACCGTAACTTAGTGCGCAATTTATTAAGGCCGCAGAACCCGTCTACTAGTAGTGTATACATATAGTCTATGGCTTCAACAAGTATCTACAGCGGGAGAAGTGGCAAGAAACTCACAAGTAAGTACACTATTTTTCTTCCAACAAAAATATAAAAGTATGCAGAAATTAAGAAAATCTAAGAAAGTGCATTATGTCCAACCATTCTTATCATTTGAATAATCATCAAGTTAAAATAACCTTTTTTTCGTTAGAATTTTTAAGTGAAACACTTTTTACGTGTGCCTTGAATTTATGCAAACGCAACTTAGTAATACTGCAGGAAATTTTGTTAGAAATAGTTATACATCTTTGTACGTGGTACACCAACGGCGCAGCCATTATGGTTGGGACACGCTTTCTCAGAATAACAGCGTGAAATAGCAGCTTAACGCTGATGTGTTTCGTATGGTGAGTGTAAGAAAATCGGAGACTTTTTTCAAAGGAAACGAGGCATTCCATATTAGTCCTCAGGGATGACGGCGGATTTTGCATTTTGATTCTTTATTGAAGATAGAAGTAGATGCTTAATCGACGATAGAAGTAAATGTCTGTGAATCACAGCATCCATTTGACTGTGTACTCGTTTTGTCAACCTTACTCTACCCGTGCCGGATATAATTGACGCGATAAAGGAGGGTAGGTATGCAGGCGTCCGATTTAAAACTAAAAAAATACTCACCCTAGCAGCACTAATGAGATGGCTGGCGGCAGTCCTGGACAAGTGCGATATCGAGGACACCAAGTCGTCCGCCGACGCTTTCGCCAAGTCTTCAACGCGTTTGTAACCCGCCCGCATTAACTGCATCGCTCTAGCCTGGAACAAAATACTTGTACAGTTCGTACGGATAAAGAATGTGATTACAAATGGCGGCTCATTGAGCCCGTACCGTCAACATGCACAGTATCAATAGCGAAAACCCGCTATTAGCGGTATATCGTTATGACGTTATACACGTATTATTGGGTTAATTGGAAATTTTCTATTATTGGGAAAATATTCGAAAAGGATTGTATACGCAAGTAGGTGTACATTAATTTTAAAATAATATTTATAACTAGCGACCCGCTCTGGCTTCACCTGGATGAGATCTATTAATGTGGCATTATTTCAGATAATCATAAAAGACCATAGAATATTTTAATAAAATTTAGTCTAGATCACTCCTGCTATTAAACTCTCACATTTGTTCGTAGTTTTATTACAATCGGTTCAGCCATTCAGAAGAGAAGCTCGGACAGACAGAAACGAACATTTTAAAAATTGTTACTCATGTTGCAATTGATGCAAATATTTTATCCAAAATTATTAACAAGTAATTTAAAATTAAAAATTTTGTCCAACCGATTCCAATATAAATGATTAAGGATAACTCAGACCAGACAGGTCAGACCTTGATCAAATTATATATTATGGGACCAAAATACAAAGAAGAATTATCGACATCGGTTCAAAAACTCACAAAACGCGTCGTGGCTCATAAATTAGCGAAACTGGAGTAAATATTTTTTATTAGTCTCGCCCAGCAGCGCGCGAAGTGTGCGGGGGAGGAGGGGGGGGGGGGTTACCTTGCGCACAGCGGGCAGCTCCATGAGCTGCTGCAGGTCTAGCGCGGCGCAGTGCTGCAGGCGCGGCGCCAGCTCGCCCAGCAGCGCGCGAAGTGTGCGGGGGAGGGGGGGGGGGGGGGGGTTACCTTGCGCACAGCAGGCAGCTCCATGAGCTGCTGCAGGTCTAGCGCGGCGCAGTGCTGCAGGCGCGGCGCCAGCTCGCCCAGCAGCGCGCGAAGTGTGCGGGGGAGGAGGGGGGGGGGGTTACCTTGCGCACAGCAGGCAGCTCCATGAGCTGCTGCAGGTCTAGCGCGGCGCAGTGCTGCAGGCGCGGCGCCAGCTCGCCCAGCAGCGCGCGAAGTGTGCGGGGGAGGAGGGGGGGGGGGGTTACCTTGCGCACAGCGGGCAGCTCCATGAGCTGCTGCAGGTCTAGCGCGGCGCAGTGCTGCAGGCGCGGCGCCAGCTCGCCCAGCAGCGCGCGAAGTGTGCGGGGGAGGAGGGGGGGGGGGGGGTTACCTTGCGCACAGCGGGCAGCTCCATGAGCTGCTGCAGGTCTAGCGCGGCGCAGTGCTGCAGGCGCGGCGCCAGCTCGCCCAGCAGCGCGCGAAGTGTGCGGGGGAGGAGGGGGGGGGGGGTTACCTTGCGCACAGCGGGCAGCTCCATGAGCTGCTGCAGGTCTGGCGCGGCGCAGTGCTGCAGGCGCGGCGCCAGCTCGCCCAGCAGCGCGCGAAGTGTGCGGGGGAGGAGGGGGGGGGGGGGTACCTTGCGCACAGCGGGCAGCTCCATGAGCTGCTGCAGGTCTAGCGCGGCGCAGTGCTGCAGGCGCGGCGCCAGCTCGCCCAGCAGCGCGCGAAGTGTGCGGGGGAGGAGGGGGGGGGGGGGTTACCTTGCGCACAGCGGGCAGCTCCATGAGCTGCTGCAGGTCTAGCGCGGCGCAGTGCTGCAGGCGCGGCGCCAGCTCGGCCAGCAGCGCGCTAAGTGTGCGGGGCAGGAGGGGGGGGGGGGGTACCTTGCGCACAGCGGGCAGCTCCATGACCTGCTGCAGGTCTAGCGCGGCGCAGTGCTGCAGGCGCGGCGCCAGCTCGGCCAGCAGCGCGCTAAGTGTGCGGGGGAGGAGGGGGGGGGGGGGTTTACCTTGCGCACAGCGGGCAGCTCCATGACCTGCTGCAGGTCCGGCGCGGCGCAGTGCTGCAGGCGCGGCGCCAGCTCGGCCAGCAGCGCGCGAAGTGTGCGGGGCAGGAGGGGGGGGGGGGGGTTACCTTGCGCACAGCGGGCAGCTCCATGAGCTGCTGCAGGTCTGGCGCGGCGCAGTGCTGCAGGCGCGGCGCCAGCTCGGCCAGCAGCGCGCGAAGTGTGCGAGGGGAGGAGGGGGGGGGGGGTTACCTTGCGCACAGCGGGCAGCTCCATGAGCTGCTGCAGGTCTGGCGCGGCGCAGTGCTGCAGGCGCGGCGCCAGCTCGGCCAGCAGCGCGCGAAGTGTGCGAGGGGAGGAGGGGGGGGGTTACCTTGCGCACAGCGGGCAGCTCCATGAGCTGCTGCAGGTCTGGCGCGGCGCAGTGCTGCAGGCGCGGCGCCAGCTCGGCCAGCAGCGCGCGGAAGGCCCACGCGCCCAGCTCCTCGCACAGCCGCACCGCGCACGATGCGAATGCCGCCGCAGACCCCATCACCATCTGCACGGTTCCCCGCGGGATGCAGTACCTGAAGTTCCGGGGTGAATGAAATGAAAAAAGGCTACGTGCTATCACCAACACTGTTTTTTCTGCATATCAATGATATGTTGCAAACCGATAACATACATTGCTATGCAGATGACAGCACTGGTGATACTCTATACACCGACCGTGCCAGTATTTCTTGGGAAAACGTCGCCGAGTACCGGAACAAACTTGTATCTGAAGTTGAGACTTTGTTGAACAAAGTCTCGGATTAGGGGCGGCTAAATGTAGTTCAGTTCAATCCCAAGTTTACGCCAATGATTAAGACACAAGTTTACGCGTTTACCGCTAAAAGGAACCCCTTTGTCGTATCTTCTCAGTTTCCAGGCATTCCCCTTGTTGCCTCAGCCAGTATCGGAATCCTCGTCGTCGACATATCGAGTGACGTACAGTTTCGTGGTCACTTGCAAGAGAAGACCAAATTGGTCTCTAAAAAGCTTGGCGTGCTCAACTGAGCGAGACAGTATTTCATGCCGGCACACTGCCTGTAACCTTACAAGGCGCAGTTTCGGCGTCACATGGAATACCGTTCCCATGTCTGGGCAGGGGCTCCCCAGTGCGAGCTCTTTCCACTTGACCGCATCCAGCGCAGAGCGGTTCGAATCGGATAGAATTATTTCCGATCGGCTTGACTCACTGGCACTGCATAGAAATGTTGCATCTCTTTGCGTATTTTATCGCATGTACCATGAGGAGTGCTCTGAGGAATTGTTAGGACTAATTCTAGCCGCTCAAGTTCACCATCGCACATCGCGACAAAACTCGCGATACCATCTATACGATTGCGATTTAGAAGATGTTTTCTTCCTCGCACAACTTCCTTGTGGAATCAATTACCACCAATGATTTTTCCGGACCGATACGACTTAGGGACCTTCAAGAAAAGAGCCTACTCCTTTTTAAAAGGCCGGCAACGCATCTGCAATTCCCCTGGTGTTGCGGTTGTTCATGGGCGGCAGTAGTCACTTAACATCAGGTGAGCCGCATGCTCGTTTGCCCCCTCTCCTATATAAAAAAAACCTAGTTTGTTCCTTTTCAGCACTCGATGTATTGTTCGAACTAGGGTGGAAAGTGACGCGGAGCAATTCCTTCATAAGTGTTGGGCACTATGCGCTGATTTTCCCTGATTCTTTGGACAGCACCTGGGATTGTGCGGACGCTAGTAGGACAGACGCGAGTTGCGACGTATCTCTCACGATAAATACGTAGGGTTAACGCTGTATTTTGGCGGCATTCGCCATACAATAAAACCATGTCTGTATACTCTGCCGTACAGTAAAAGTGGCATTTCCGCCGCCAACACGTACACATAGAAGTCAAGTAGTTTCAGTATCACATTGAAAAAATAATAAAAATAAACTTACTTAAAACACTATTTTGCTCACACAACGTCAAAACCGGAAAAATCGCTGGTGGTAAACTATTCCAAAAGGAAGTTGTTCGCGGAAGAAAACGTCTTCTAAATCGCACAGTGGTTGACCGCCATGTGCGTTCGTGAAATTCGGCGGCTGGGATTAATCCGAACAATTCCTCAGAGCACTCCCCGTGTTAAATGCGAAAGAAAATGCAGAGATGCAACATCCCTTCGCAGCGCCAATGAATCGAGCCGATCGGAAAGGACTCGGTCGTCGACGTTTCGAGCCACTCTGCGTTGGTAGCGGTCAAGTGGAAAGAGCTGGCACTGGGGAGCCCCAGCCCAGAGATGGGAACAGTATTCCATGTGAGGCCGAACCTACGCCTTGTAAAGTTGCAGGCGTTGTGCCGGCATGAAATACTGTCCCGCTCTGCTGGGCACGCCAAGCTTTATAGAGGCCAATTTGGCCTTCTCTTCCAAGTGACCACGAAACTGCACGTCACTCGATATGCCGACGTCGAGGATTCCGATACTGGCTGAGGCAACAAGGGGAGTGCCTTGAAGCTGAGGAGATACGACAAAGGGGTCCTTTTTAGCGGTAAACGCGCAAACTTGTGTCTTCTGAGGATTAAACTGGACTAGATTTAGTCGGCCCCAATCCGACACTTTGTTCAGCAAAAACTCGACTTCAGACACAAGTTTGTTCCGGTACTCGGCGACGTTTCCCCGAGAAATATTGGCACGGCCGGTGTATCACCAGTGGTGTCATACGCATAGCAAAGAATGCTACCAGTTTGCAACATATCATTGATATGCTGAAGAAACAGCGTTGGTGATAGCACGCAGCCTTGTGGAACACCAGCGTTAATAGGCTTGTAGTTAGAGCATGCACCGTCTACGACCTTGATGCTCCGATCTGCAAGAAAGCTGGTGATCCAATTGCACAATTTCCCGGGAAGCCCATAGGAAGGGAGCTTCGAAAGAAGCGCTTTGTTCCAAACCCGATAGAAGGCCTTCGCAATGTCCAAACTAACGGCCAATGCCTCCCCCTTACTTTACTGCCTTCGCCCATCTATGAGTCAAGTAGACCAGAAGATCACCAGCTGATCGACCCCGACGAAAACCGTATTGGCGGTCACTAATCAGCTGGTGATCCTCAAGGTACCGCATGAGCTGGCAGTTTATAATGGATTCCATTATTTTGGGGAACAAGGGGGGTGATTGGCGTTAGGCCTGTAGTTGTACGGGTCTGAGCGGTCGCCTTTTTTAGGGATCGGATGGACAAAAGCTGTCTTTCATGATTTCGGGACTACGCCTAGGGAGTAGGAGTACCGGAAAAGACGCGTTAGAACCGGTGCCAACTCCGGAGCACACGTCCTCAGCACAATTGGGGGGATTCCGTCAGGCACACTCGACTTGTGGATATCCAGAGAAGTGCTTTGCGGACCAATCGCTGTGTGAACCGCACATCCGGCATGGAGCACTCACACCGCGGGTTGGTCGGCGGTGTGTTACCCCGTCATCAAGAGTCGAGTTGGACGCAAAAAGGGAGCCTAAAAGGTCGACTTTCTCTTTTGCGGCGTGGGCCAGTGAGTCGCCTCCCTGTGCAGAGATGGTAGTGATGGCTTACAGAAATTCCCTTGGACAGCCTTGGCGAGAGACCAGAATGCACGGGTTCCCGAAGGAGGGCGAACTAGTTTCTCGCCAATTCTGCCTATGTGTTCTGATTTTGCCTTGGCAATAACTCTTTTGAAGGACCTGGAGGCGAAGTTATACTTCTTTTTAAGCATGCTGGTGTTTACATACCGAGCCGCCGAAGCTAAGGTGCAGGCGCTGCTGCTCCGTGATAAGCCGATTAGAGTCTTACTTCCACTGGTTACTGGAAAAAATGTCTCAAAACCAACTTTTCCTATCAAATGTGTTTTAGACAGATGAAAGCACGTTTACTCGAAACGGCATATGGAATCGACAAAACCATGCGTCACTGGAGCCATACGAATCCCCACTTATTTAGGGAATCAGCTCATCAATAACGAGTTTGAGCAGGCATTTACGAAGATCAAATAATCGGCCCTGTTTTTATTGACGAAAACCTGAATGCACAGAAATTTCTCAATATACTTAACAGCCCAATAACAAAATATTTAGAAGGATTGTCTGTGGTAGCATACCAGCGGATGTGGTTCCAGTTAGATTGAGGTCGTCCACACTCCGTACTCCTCGCGAGAGAGCGGCTTAACACCATGTTGGGCGAACAATGGATAGGGCGCTATGGCCCACGCAGGTGGCCAGATCGGGCGCCTGGCCTCACTCCTCTAGACTTCTTTTTATGTGGCTTTATTAAAAATGGAGTGTACTCAAAGATCTCCGTAACCGAAGATGAACTGCGCAATCGTATTGTTGCCGCCTTTGGCAAATTAAAAGCCCTATCTCTGGATCCCAAACGAAATTTGTTGAGCAGGCTTCAGGACAACATTATGCGGCGATGTAACTTGTGCATTCAAGAACGTGGCGGACATTTTGAAAATTTTAAAATTTATGGTTTCATTAAATTTTGCAACTAATACGCAATAATATTTATTTCGTTCAGTTCCATTTTCGCGAAATAAAAAGTGGCGGTAAAAATACCTAAACAGTTTAGTGAGTAAGTTTTTATTTCGTCGCACATTGTCAAACGAATCAAAGGCAATAACGCTGCCGGCCGCCAACCGCCATGCCACCCGCGGCCAACGTTGCCACTCTTCCAAGGGTCAAGGTACGTAGTCTAAACAGTGTTTACTTTTACTGAATTTATTTTAATATTTATTTTGTTTGAAAATTTCACTTTTTTAATTTACGGGTTTTAATTTAATATATAATTTTTCTACACTTCTATGGACTAGTATTACTTGTGGTTTCGTTTATTGCATATATGTGGATTCCTTACTGTATATAATGCTTGTGGTAGAAGATCCTCGCCCTCCCTTCATCATTATCATCATTACAGCCCTTCACAAGTCCACTGCTGAACATAGGCCTCCCCCAAAGAATGCCACAAAGCACGGTCCTGAGCCACCTACATCCATCGACTTCCTGCAAATCTTACCAGGTCGTCACTCCATCTAGTGGGGGGACGCCCTACACTTCGCCTGCCGGTACGAGGCTGCCACTCGAGAACCTTTCTTCCCCATCGGTTGTCGGTTCTTCGAGCTATATGGCCGGCCCATTGCCACTTCAGCTTACTAATCCGTTGGGCTATGTCGGTCACTCTGGTTCTACTGCGGATATCCTCATTTCTGAGTTTATCACGCAGAGAAACTCCGAGCATAGCCCTCTCCATAGCTCGCTGAGCGACCTTGAGCTTCCTCATCCGGCCAGCAGTGAAGGACCACGTCTCAGTTCCGTATGTCATCACTGGCAACACGCACTGGGTGTACAGTCTCGTTTTCAAGTTTTGAGGTATACCTGACGAGAAGATGTGCCGTAATTTCCCGAACGCTGCCCAACCGAGTTGAATCCGTCGATTGACCTCTCGGTCGAAGTTGGACTTACCTAGTCGGACTATTTGTCCCAGGTAAACATACTCGTCAACAACTTCGAGCTTAGTGTTCCCAACAACTACCGGCATAGGTGTGACATGGACATTAAACATGATCTTTGTTTTGTCCATGTTCATCTTAAGACCTATCCGTTGGGAAACACTATTGAGGTCATTGAGCATAGTGCTTAGGTCCTCCAGCGATTCTGCCATAAGGACTATATCGTCGGCAAATCGAAGGTGAGTGATGTACTCGCCATTGATGTTGATACCGTATCCTTTCCAGTCCAGAAACTTGAAAACATCTTCCAATGCAGCGGTGAAGAGTTTCGGGGATATGACGTCACCCTGTCTTACACCTCTCTGCAATTGGATAGGTTTCGTACTCTGGTTCTGTACTCGGATAGCCATCGTAGCCCTACTGTACAAGCACTTCAACACTTCGATATACCGACAGTCAACTTGGCATCGCTGAAGGGACTGCAGCACCGCCCAAATTTCGACGGAATCAAAGGCTTTCTCATAGTCCACATACGCCAGACATAGTGGCAAATTGTACTCCTCGGACTTCTGTACAATTTGCCGAAGGGTATGTATGTGGTCTATGGTGCTAAAGCCTTTTCGGAAACCGGCTTGTTCGGGAGGCTGGAAGTCGTCAAGTCTGCGCGCGAGACGATTCGTAATGACTCTCGAAAACAGCACGTAGACGCGGCTCAGAAGGGAAATCGGTCTGTAGTTCTTCAAGAGAGCGTTGTCGCCTTTCTTGAAGAACAAGACCACCTCACTTCTGCTCCACGCCTCCGGTGTAATGCCACCATGGAGGACGGAATTAAAGAGCTTCTGAAGGACTTCAAGTACCGGTTTTCCACCCGCTTTCAGAAGCTCCGCTGTAATTCCATCCTGGCCTGGGGCCTTGCCGTTTTTAAGGTGCTGGAGAGCCATTCTAATCTCGCTCAGACTGACGTCCGGGATATCATCGGAATAATGTCGGATAAGACTCGCTCTTGGATCGTTACTCACACTTGCGTGTGGCTCCAACGATGACGTGTACAGCTGCCCATAGAACCTCTCAATCTCACTCAAAATCTCAGGTGCCCCGGAAACGATGCTGCCACATTCGGTCTTCAGCTTTGACAGTTGGCTCTTTCTGGCAGACAGATCTCTGGCAAAGACTTTGGAGCCTTGGTTCCGCTCGATCGCTTCTTCAATACGAGCTGTATTGAAGTTGCGTAAGTCCCGCCGCATGCATTTGGAGATCTGTCTGTTCAGTTGCCTGTATGCTGTCAAATCTGTTGAAGAATGTAGCTTCATCTCCCGTCTAACAGCCATGAGATTAAGAGTGTGATCGGAGAGTTTTTGTGTTCTTCTGCGGCGGGTCTTGCAGAACTTAGCTCCGACCGCATGGACAGTTTCCACGAGCTTGTCATTCAAATCGTCCACTTCATTGCAGTCTTCTAGGCACTGAAAACGGTTTTGCAACTCGAGCTGAAAGGTTTCGGGACTTTGGATTAGAGCACGAGGGGGACGGAGCGTTGACTTCATTAGACGAGACCTCTCCAACTTAACGTTTAGGTTCAGTGTGCCTCTAACCATTCGGTGATCGCTGCCGGTTTTCACCCTCGCGATCACTGAGACATCACTGAACAGTTGTCGTCTGGTCGCAATAATGAAGTCAATCTCATTTTTTGTCGAACCGTCGGGGCTCGACCAGGTCCACTTCCTGTGGGGCCGCTTCTGGAAGAAAGAGTTCATCATAAAGAGTCCCTCTTTCTCCATGAAGTCGGCCAACTGCTGGCCCCTTGGGTTCCGTTGCCCTATTCCAAATTTCCCCACTTTCAGCTCACCGTTCTCTCTTGTGCCTAGTTTTGCATTGAAGTCTCCCATTAACACCGTATATTGGGTTTTGGAGGAATGCATGGCTCTAGAGATATCCTCATACATTTCCTCCACCTCCTGATCGGGGTGTGCCGAGGTTGGTGCGTAAACCTGTATGACCTTCAGCGAATACCGTTTGGTGATTCTGAGTATAAGGTACGCAACCCTCGTCGACACACTCTCAATCTTTACAACGTTGTTAACGAGAGACTTGTGGACGATAAATCCGACACCTCCTTGGGACAGATGGTCGCCCTCCCGGTGATAGAGCAAGTTGCCGGATTCGAGGATTACCGTGTCCTCCCCCTCTCTTCGGATTACGGATAATCCTATAATATGCCAGCGTAACTTGTCTATCTCTTCTTCCAGCTCCACAATCTTCTCGTCAGTCCTCAGGGTGCGTGCGTTGTATGTTGCCAGGTCGAGTCGTTGTAGGTGGCAACCGAACCTCCACCGGAGATTCTTAGCACCCCCTGCCCCGCCGTTACCATGGTCGCCACCGTAGCCAGGAATAGCGGGGCCGCCGGGGACTGGGGGCCGTCTCTTCGTAACTTTCATTATGGGGGGTATATTGCCATAGTTGCCACGCTTGGCGAGCGGGTTGGCAACCGCAGTTTTTTATTGTATTTTGTCGTTACCAGGAAGATGCTGCTGCCCATCTCCTGCCTGTTTCCCTTTGTCGCCTTTTACGACACCCACGGGAAGATATGGGGTAGTGGATATTCTTAACCGCCACTACACGGCGGCACACCCTCCCTTAGCTAAGTATATTCAACAAAAGAGACACAGTGTGTGCATGCTGCATGCGCCCGCATGTGCCCGCGCGCATGTGTGTGTGTGTGTGTTTTGCCGGTTGTTCTCCGAGGTCTTGTTTTTGCGAACCGGTGTAGATTTTGACATTTATAAATGCTTTACACAACCTTAAATTATAATAAAAAAAAAATTACGATTTAAATAACTAAGATACTACGCCGGTAATCGTACCAAGCAACATTACATTTTAATTTTTTTGTAGTTGTTAATTTTCGGGATTAAAATACGATCATAAATATATTCAGATATATCAGAAATTAATAATTTTATATAATTATTATTAAATATAATTTTTATATTAGACCATAGTGCATCCTAATTTCTTATAACATCAACGGCCAAATACTCAACTCTACTCATTTTTAATATGTCGTTACGTCACGTGGTGTCACAGTCACTTTGACAAAGTGATAGGGACAGCACGAGAATCCTAAAATTGAATAGCGTTTGAGTATTTGTACATTAAAATCGTGCTTTGGTATGTTGGACTCAAATAATATACACTACCTACCTATACAATATGTAACAAAATCCCGTTCCCGTTAAGTACGTTATCAGGATCATTATTCAAACGTAAAGAAATAACTTTTTTTTAAATACTCCAACAATATTTTTTTATTTTATTTAAAAAGTTAATAAAATTAAAAAAAAAATTAAAACATAAATTAACGTACGGGAATCACAGGGTTTTTGTTACATCTTGTATATCTTATTTCGTACTTTTTTATATTTAAAAGAATTCACATTAAATTTTTTGAAACAAAAATATCCACATTCTCTTACTTTTCAGCAACTTCCGGGAAAGGCACTTGTTTCCAAAGATCGTGCAGCATCATGGCGATGTAGAATCGGCACAACACTATTTCTGGAACGTTCTGTTAACAATAATATTATCTAAATATTTTGTACAACAAAAATTATTCTCGTCATAAATCTACAATTACAATTGAGCTAGTACGTAATATAGTAATGACAAATAGTCAATTACCGTGATAGGTTTGCCGGTCATCATTCGTATCGCGTTCATCTCCGTGATACCAAGTATTTTTGATGTCTGTACTCCCTCTTCGTCCAAGTTACGATACTGAAATATAACTGGTTTGAAGTAATTTACATTTGCAAACACTTCCTAAAACATTCGAAACTTAAAGTACAAAATCACTCTAACAAATAACACCTAAACAAAGTTTTGTAAAGATTAAAAAGGAGAAATGACAAAAGAAAAAGGTTCATTTTATCGTTTGAATAAAAAAAAAACGGGAAGTATAAAAATATTATCTTCTTTTATAATTCCATAAATACGGAAACTATTTCGAGTCTTACCAAGGAGTAATAATGCCTATAGTCGGGCCGCAATCCAGCCGCGTCGTGCGGAGTCACCAGGTACAAGAGGTGGAGGCTACCCATTAACACTAAGGACCTCGAAGCCACTTCTAAATCGGATAGAAATTGCTTCGCCACAGCTAGGTCCATACATCCTGCCAAATACCAAAAATACTGTTTTTGTACATAAAACAAATATTAGATGTCCCATATTCACACAGATTTAATAGACGCACACCTAGACGGATAGCAAGTATTTAAATAATTTGTAAAAAGTCTGCTATGGTCCTTCGAGCCGGATTTAACCCTGATTTAAAAAGATATTTCATGTCAACATGATGAGGATACATGATAATTACCTTTAATAGCCGCCCGTCCAACCTTAGTGACTACCAGTTCGCTGTCATTAAACACGTAGCATCTATTATTCTCGGAATTGTCGTCACCAGGTTCGAGCCGCGAACTCTTGTTGACAACTTCCAACGCACCGCTTTGCAGCAACGAGCGTATGGCCTCATCGCAACATTGATTCATGTCCACACTAGCATGAAGAGAAAAAAAAAACATTAATGAAATTAACAAAGTATTTATAATTATTTTTTTCGGATTATTTATATTTTTATATTAAACTCTAATTCTATCGGACTGGACTGTCTTGACGGTACCGAACTTGGCTGTATTACACTGGGCTGGATTGTGCTGTAATGTAACGTGGTAGAACCATGCTGCAGCTATATTATAGTCGTAGCACGAATAAGTCGATCGAGCGAAGAATAGCCACGCTCCCTAAGAATAAGCTTAATGTTGCTGTCTTTCATACGGTGAACGCAAACAAATGAAGACCCCTTTTACTGAAAACGAGATATTCCACCTTAGTTCTCAGTGGTGACAACGAATCTGCATTTTCATTCTTAATCGAGAATAAATGTGGATGTCTATTGTCCACAGTATCCACTTACCATCAGGTGGACTGTGTGCTCGTTTGTCACCGTTATTCTATTGTTAAGAGCTTGGGATTCGAGACTATTAAAAACTGCCGATTGAATTACCAAAATTGACACTTTAATTACAGAACACTAATTACAATTCACAACCACACTAATAATAAAACACAATTGTACTACTGATCACTTTAGTTCGCAGTTGTATCGCTTCGAAGTATTCGCTTGTATCGCCAATTCAATACTCCTCCGTCGCGATCTATACCGGCCTTATATAAGGCCTCAGATACTTTCCAGAACCTTCTACTGTAGAAACATCTAGAATGTTCGAGTACATATCGGTCCCGATTGACTAGGTAGTTCCAGAAAGTTCTTCCATGGAAATTTCTAGAAGATTCTTGACTGTCCTAGTTCTGCTACTCGATACTAGAGGGCGCTAGTGGTATTAATTTGTGGCGCGCAACACAATTAATAATGTACTAGGCTGGACTATACTGAAGTGGCTTGGAACATAAATCAATTGAAATTTAATGGAATTATTTGAAACAAGAGTGGACTATATGTTGTTACATAGATTTTCTTTTAGCCTAACGTAGACATTCGTAGATACCACCTTTATCTATGGGTGGTATCTACGAATGTCTACCTTAAGTCCACGTTTGAAGAATATGGAGAACAAGTATAATTAAAGGCTGTAAAGTTTCCCAACGTAATCTTCAGAGGTAATAACGCATGTAATGGTTTTTTTTAAAGTTGGTTGTAGGTGCCATATTCTACAATAGACACATACCAATGGGTAGACTGTTAGTTAGATTGTTACATATTAGACCGCTCTAGAGTGGATTGCACAATGTTGTATAATATATACTATAGTGGTCTGGGCATTACTAAGTTAGACTGAAATGTATTGGTCGCGCGACGCCGGCCAGCAGCAGCGCGGGCAGTGTAGTGCTGTGTACTGTACTGTACTGTACTGTGTACAGTGTAGTGTCGTGTGCAACAGTTACGTGTGGGCGTGCGTGACGGCGAGCAGCGTGCAGCGCAGCAGGCGGCGCAGGGCGGGCCGGTCGCGCGCCAGGCGCAGCGCGACGCCGGCCAGCAGCAGCGCGGGCAGTGTAGTGCTGTGTACTGTACTGTACTGTGTACAGTGTAGTGTCGTGTGCAACAGTTACGTGTGGGCGTGCGTGACGGCGAGCAGCGTGCAGCGCAGCAGGCGGCGCAGGGCGGGCCGGTCGCGCGCCAGGCGCAGCGCGACGCCGGCCAGCAGCAGCGCGGGCAGTGTAGTGCTGTGTACTGTACTGTACTGTGTACAGTGTAGTGTCGTGTGCAACAGTTACGTGTGGGCGTGCGTGACGGCGAGCAGCGTGCAGCGCAGCAGGCGGCGCAGGGCGGGCCGGTCGCGCGCCAGGCGCAGCGCGACGCCGGCCAGCAGCAGCGCGGGCAGTGTAGTGCTGTGTACTGTACTGTACTGTGTACAGTGTAGTGTCGTGTGCAACAGTTACGTGTGGGCGTGCGTGACGGCGAGCAGCGTGCAGCGCAGCAGGCGGCGCAGGGCGGGCCGGTCGCGCGCCAGGCGCAGCGCGACGCCGGCCAGCAGCAGCGCGGGCAGTGTAGTGCTGTGTACTGTACTGTACTGTGTACAGTGTAGTGTCGTGTGCAACAGTTACGTGTGGGCGTGCGTGACGGCGAGCAGCGTGCAGCGCAGCAGGCGGCGCAGGGCGGGCCGGTCGCGCGCCAGGCGCAGCGCGACGCCGGCCAGCAGCAGCGCGGGCAGTGTAGTGCTGTGTACTGTACTGTACTGTGTACAGTGTAGTGTCGTGTGCAACAGTTACGTGTGGGCGTGCGTGACGGCGAGCAGCGTGCAGCGCAGCAGGCGGCGCAGGGCGGGCCGGTCGCGCGCCAGGCGCAGCGCGACGCCGGCCAGCAGCAGCGCGGGCAGTGTAGTGCTGTGTACTGTACTGTACTGTGTACAGTGTAGTGTCGTGTGCAACAGTTACGTGTGGGCGTGCGTGACGGCGAGCAGCGTGCAGCGCAGCAGGCGGCGCAGGGCGGGCCGGTCGCGCGCCAGGCGCAGCGCGACGCCGGCCAGCAGCAGCGCGGGCAGTGTAGTGCTGTGTACTGTACTGTACTGTGTACAGTGTAGTGTCGTGTGCAACAGTTACGTGTGGGCGTGCGTGACGGCGAGCAGCGTGCAGCGCAGCAGGCGGCGCAGGGCGGGCCGGTCGCGCGCCAGGCGCAGCGCGACGCCGGCCAGCAGCAGCGCGGGCAGTGTAGTGCTGTGTACTGTACTGTACTGTGTACAGTGTAGTGTCGTGTGCAACAGTTACGTGTGGGCGTGCGTGACGGCGAGCAGCGTGCAGCGCAGCAGGCGGCGCAGGGCGGGCCGGTCGCGCGCCAGGCGCAGCGCGACGCCGGCCAGCAGCAGCGCGGGCAGTGTAGTGCTGTGTACTGTACTGTACTGTGTACAGTGTAGTGTCGTGTGCAACAGTTACGTGTGGGCGTGCGTGACGGCGAGCAGCGTGCAGCGCAGCAGGCGGCGCAGGGCGGGCCGGTCGCGCGCCAGGCGCAGCGCGACGCCGGCCAGCAGCAGCGCGGGCAGTGTAGTGCTGTGTACTGTACTGTACTGTGTACAGTGTAGTGTCGTGTGCAACAGTTACGTGTGGGCGTGCGTGACGGCGAGCAGCGTGCAGCGCAGCAGGCGGCGCAGGGCGGGCCGGTCGCGCGCCAGGCGCAGCGCGACGCCGGCCAGCAGCAGCGCGGGCACACGCTCCACCAGCACGCTGCGCGCCGCCGCCACGCCTCCACATAGCACGCCACGCAGCTCCGCCCACTCCCGCTCCGCGCAAATTATAATGCTCTCGCCTAACAGAACCGGCAAATCTTACAATTTTGCAGTTGCCACCACAATTCATTCATTCATTACAGCCCAGCCACTACACTGCCGTCATAAGTCCACTGCTGAACATAGGCTAGGCCCCCCAAGGAAGTTCACAGTGTCCACTGCAGTGGACTTGTGAAGGGCTGTAATGATGATGATGATGATTGACGAAAATAGTAAAGCGTAGTGCGCTTTACTATTTTCGTCAAAGCATAGCTAAATAAAAATTGTCCAACGTCGTAAGTGCGAGGAAGGAGTTATTTTATTATGCTTCTACTCGAGACCAGTAAGATTGGTTCTAAACCGATTCAGGTCACCCATAAACCTCTTTGCTCTAAAGGGGATAGAATACTCCAGCGCTTGACATTCGCTTGCCAGATTAGTCATAGCAACCGCCCAGCTCCACGGAATCGCTGAAGAGAAGCATACCTCCCGCCTAGGATAAAATGGTAGAAGTTTACTTCTGCATTTCGCCTGGTGAGTACAGGTGGCCGGAGGCTCAATTCCTCCCCCCCCCCCTCCATGAACATGGTAGCGGAATGAAATGGCAGACGACCCCAGGAGGGTACCAACATTTCTGGAGAATCACTCGCCGGGCATCCACGACCAAGCTTCAAAGCGTGGGTACTCAGACTGCCCCGCGTATTCTAGGAGGGGGGGGGGACGAAATTCCGCTCAAGTCGAAACCTGCTAGGGGCAAGCAGAGCAGTAAGACAAAAGCCGATCTGCTAGGCTCTCTTTTTGCTTCCAACTCGACTCTAGATGACGAGGAGAACACACCGCCGACCATCCCGCGGTGTGAATGCTCCATGCAGGAAGTGCTGTTTACACAGCGCTTGGTGCGTAAAGCACTCCTCTCCCTGGACGTCAACAAGTCGAGTGGGCCTGATGTCCCACCTTTTGTGCTGCAGACGTGTGCTCCGGAGTTGGCACCGGTTTTAACGCGTCTTTATCGGTACTTCTACTCCCTAGGCCCGAACTCATGGAAGCGAGCTTTGGTGCACTCGATCCCTAAAAAAGGCAACCGCTCAGATCCGTCCAACTACAGGCATATCGCTATCACCTCCATGTTCTACAAAGTAATGGAAACCATTATTAGCTACCAGCTCATGCGGTACCTTGAGGATTAGAGACACCAGCTGATTAGTGACCGCAAGTACAGTTTCCGTCAAGGTCGCTCAGGTTAGGTTACCTAACTCATAGATGGGCGGAGGCAGTGGAGTCCAAGGGGGAGGCGTTGGCCGTTAGTTTGGACATAGTGAAGGCCTTCGATCGGGTTTGGCACATAGCGCTTCTTACGAAGCTGCCTTCCTATGGGCTTCCCGAGAAATTGTGCAATTGGATCACCAGTTTTCTTGCAGATCGGAGCATCAAGGTCGTAGTAGACGGTGCACGCTCCGATTACAAGCCCATTAACACTGGTGTTCCACAATGCTGCGTGCTATCACCAACGCTGTTTCTTCTGCATGTCAATCATATGTTGCAAACCAGTAATATTCATTGATATGCAGACGACAGCACTGGTGATGTTTTAAACACCGGCCGTATCAATATTTCTCGGGAAAACGTCGCCGTGTACAGGAACAAACTTATGTCTGAAGTCGAGACAGACTGGGGGCGACTAAATCTAGTCCAGTTCAATCCCCAGAAGACACAAGTTTGCGCGTATATAGAACCGCTATAAAGAACTCCTTTGTCGTATCTCAGTTTCAAGGCACTCCTCTTGTTGCCTCAATCAGTATTGGAATCCCCGGTGTCGACATATAGACATAGTGACGTGCAGTTTCGTGGTCACTTGGAAGAGAAGGCCAAATGGGCCTCAAAAAAGCTTGGTGTGCTCATCAGAGCAGGACAGTATTTCATGCCGGCACACCGCTTGCAACTTTGCAAGGCGCAGGTTCGGCCTTACATGGAATACTGTTCCCATCTCTGGGCAACGGCTCCCCAGTGCCAGCTATTTCCACTTGACCGCATCCAGCGCAGACTGATTCGAATCGTCGACGACCGAGTTCTTTCCGATCGGTTTGACTCACTGGCACTGCGTCTATCACGGGAAGTGCTTTGAGGATTTTTTTGGACTAACTCCAGTCGCTCAATTTCACCATCGCACATCGCGACAAAACTCGCGATACCATCCATACCATCTGGATGATTGGCGGTCCACCACTGTGCGATTTAGAAGAAGTTTTCTTCCTCGCACAATTTCCTTGTGGAATCGATTACCACCAGCAATTTTTCCGGACCGATACGACTTAGGGAACCTCAAGAAAAGAGCAACACATCTGCAATTCCCCTGGTGTTGCAGTCGTTCATGGGCGGTGGTAGTCACTTAACATCAGGAGAGGCGCATGCTCATTTGTCTCCTCGAGATACTGTAGACTGCGTAGATCGGACCAAAATTTATAATATACTAGTTGGCCAGGCAGACGTTGTTCTGCCCATACCGACGACCCTCTGTCCTATTAAAAAATCCTTAAGTACGCAATAAAAAAATTAAGGGTAATTTATTGGGATAAAAACTATCCTATCTCTCAATTTCGACCAAAATGCACATAGTGTGCAAAATTTCATTGAAATCACTTCAGTAGTTTAGGAGTCCATCGCAGACAAACAACGTGACACGTAATTTTTATATATAAAGATAACTGAAGGCTGAAGCCGGGCTCTAATTATGAAATCGAGACGTCAAACATCTCAGGCCCCTACGTGACTGTGACGTGGTGCTGAAAAGCACCCGAAACTTCGGGATTAAAAAGTTAAAATTACACGCGGTAAAAGCCCGTAAAATTTGTTTAATTTTTTGTGTAGTGTTCGCATAAATATAAGAAATCACCACCAAAACAAAGACACAACATTTATTTTCACAAATCCTTTTTTTTATTCTGATAGATCTCAACACCGCATTATTACATAATACTTATGTAATAATGCGGTGCCACGCTCTCACAGAATACTAGTGTAAAATAGCAGCATAACGCTGCTGTGTTTCATATGGAGAGTGTAGAGAACCGGAGAAACCTAGTTACCGGAAAAGTGGCATTCCATCTTAGTCCTCACGAATGACAACGCATCTGCATTTTGATTCGCAAACGAGGATAGATGTAGATGTCTATGGGCCACAGCAACCACTTACAATCAGGTGGACTGTGTGCTCGTTTATCACCCTATTCTATAAAAAAAAATATTACCACTGGTTCGGAATATACCTCTGTCCTGGGAGGAACCAACAAGAAACCCATCGGGACTTTTTTTTAAACATAATTTCACTTAACAATAATTTTGTTTATACAATTTTAAATGAAATTTCATAGAACCAGCATGGTGGCGATCACCGTATTCCCAGGGGTTATTTTCATTCATGTATTCCTTGATATTATAATAACCTTTATTGTACAGTTTTTCGTTAATAAAACTTTTAAACTTGTTTATTGACAAACTTTGAACATGTTCTGGGAATTTGTTGTAAAAGCGTATACATTGCGTATTATTATAAATGAATGACTAATTCTGTAGAGTCTAGTAACTGGCATTACAAGCTTGTGTTTGTTCCTAGTGTTTAAGGTATGAACATCCTTATTCTTATTAATGCTATTTATGTTTTTATGTACATAGATTACATTTTCATAAATATATAGCGATGCCAAAGTTTTTATTTCTTTAAATTTTTCTCTGAGGGACTCTACAATTTAGGTTATAAATCACCCGTACGGCTCTCTTTTGCAAAACAAATATAGCTTCAATATCAGTCGCATTACCCCATAGCAAAATTCCATAAGACATTACGTTATGAATGTAACTAAAATACACTAATCTAGCTGTCTTAACATCTGTAAGACTTCTAATCTTTCTTACAGCATATGCTGCAGAACTAGGTCTGCTTGTTAATTTAGATATATGGGGTTATGGGAGCTCCATTGAAGTTTCATCGTAATACCAAGAAAAACAGTGGTATCCACAAGACTCAACTCCTCCCCATTTAAGAGCACATTGCTATTCGAATGTTTTACATTAGTTATTGTAAATTTAATACATTTTGTCTTATTGCCGTTTAAGAGCAAATTGTTGGCGTTAAGCCAATGTACTAATTTCGATAGAGCATTAGAATAGAATAGAATAGAATAATTTTTTATTCAATATACATTTGTTCGCGCCAAACGCTAATTTCAGGAACCAACGCGAGAGGGCGCGCGGCTCGGTGGAATACCGGTTTTGACGTCGGCCGAGCGGTGGGTTGAGAACGCGTAAAGGACAGAGTCGTCTGTCAGCGGTGCTAACGTTAGCACACTGTCAATTTTGTTAGGGAACTCGGAATAATTAGGCGCGGATAGTAAATATTCTGTCTAGGATTTGTGACGCGCATTCCTTGCTGGAGAGCTTCCCTTTCCTTCCTCATTGTGTTCGACTCAGAATCTGTACAAGTGCATTCGACAATATTAGCTAGTGCGGCCTTTGATATTCTAGAAATAACTGTTGCTACGCGAAACGGTAGTGACCTTTGATCCGGACACTCCCTGTTCATTTTGTGTTAGGCTTTATAACAAACGAGAGTTAGTGGCTTCTGTAAGTTAGTTAATAGTACGATAGAGTTAATGGACAGTCATCGTGACGAACGAAGAAGTGGTCCGGCGCCGAAGCAGTCTGAAGCGGTGCAGCATTTTGGAGCAGCCTGGAACTCGGCCGCTGCTGGTCGCCTATGCTTGGCAAGGCCCCACACCTTCACACCTCACTGTACACTACTCGCCATCCACTATTACACACACTCACGGCCTGCCCAAGCCTTGGTGCGAAGTTAGCTTCAGATAATGGTAAGTACTACGTGTTTCTAGCTTTCTCCCATATTGTTTATTGTAATTAGGAAATTCCACGTGGCCATATTCTGGCCCCGTCCCTCTGCTGCTCGTCGATGGGATAACTCATGGGCCCTAATCCCGTCATCCTTGGTTGGGGCAGCTAGGGGCGTGTACAAACTGGTAGCAGAGCGTAGTTCCGGGTTCGATTCCCCGGTCGATCCCGACCATAGTGTTTGATAAAAATTAAGTAATTCTGGTAGCAGGTTTGATTGGGTTAATTTTGTGTCTACAATCACGCCCGTCCGTAATACGTAAAAATATTTTTTATGTACGTAATAATAAAATTATTTTCCTTTGTTGCTTGCCTTTTTTTGGTTAGTGGGTAGATTGAAAAGCCGCGCCCTAGGTTGCGCAAGCGGGAGTTTTTCTAGAGATATACGTCATGTAGGTAGATGGTTATTTTTACGTAATCGGTTAATTATCGTTGTCGGATAGTTGTAGTGGATTACTTATCGAAGGGTCGATTTCCGAGCTAGGCATTTTTTGTTGATCGACCGTGATGTGTATCTTCGTTTGTATTGTAATTTGTATTTGAACTAAAGAGTAGTAATTTGTATTTGCGCCATCTGAATTTAACTTGATTTGATCGCACTAGTATTTGTTATTTGTTAATTTGATTTGTGTTTTTCTTTTGTGCTAACTTGTATTTGGTTGATACGTAGTAATTCGTATTTGTGTAATTTCTATTCAACGCGATTTGATAGGAACTGCATTTATTAACTGTTAATTTTTTGTTGTATTTTTTATTTGTTATCTTTGTAATTTGTGCTCGAGCCGCGTCGTAATTTGTATTTAGTAGTGATGTCATCGCCCAAGCTACGATCCGTTGCCTGCGGACTGAGTTACGCTGGGCCACAAGCGCCCATGCTTTGATAGGTCGACCGGATAGGGTCCATAACTTGATGAAGCGGTTCGAGCAGGTGGATGCTCGAAGGGCCGCAGTGGAGGAGGCTTACGCTGAGCTCGAGGATTCGGATGTGGAGAAGGGAGTCCTGGACTCCTGCTTCGCGGACTATGAGCAGTTCTTTTCGCTCACGGACGAGTTGATCGAGACTGAAGGCAGGTATGCCGAGGAGGCGCGTGAAGCTCGGATGAGTGGCCTGCCCGAGTCCTCTCGCAAGCAGCTTCAGCCGGAGCTGTTTGGACGACTCCCAACTCTGGACCTGCCAAAGTTCTCCGGGATCCTTTCCGAATGGCTGACCTTCGTTGGTCTTTTCGACAGCCTAGTGGACGCCCGGAGACTTGACACCGAGCCAGAAGATGGCGTACCTCCTGGCCTCACTGGAGGGGGAGGCCCTGGGCGTCGTCGGCCCCTTGAGATTGTCAGACGACGCCTACCAGACTGCTCGGGACCTCCTAGCCAGAAGATACGCCAACGTGCGGCGAATTGCGGACGAACATGGTAAGCAGCTTCTAAGCCTCCCGCTGCTTAGTGACCGGGCCAGACTACGTCCGGACCTGTTGGATCCAGTCCTGGTGGCCTGTAATACGTTGAGGCGGCTGGATTTACCAGTGGGCGAATAGGCTTTTTTGTTGCTCCGCATCGTGCTGTCCCGTCTACCTCTCGACCTTCGAATCCATTTTGAGGAGAGGTACGACGGGGACGAGGCCTCCTATATTCCGCCCTTCTATGACCTGTTGTCATTGTCGAGCATCTGAGCACCGGGTAACGTCGTGCCCGAAATTATTAGGTAAGCCGGTTCCGGCGAGACGAACTATCGCCAAGGAGCGCCGCTGGTGCTGCTCATGTTTGGAAGGGCACCTGCAGCGAGACTGTCCGCATCGGCGGCCCTGTCTGCATTGCCAGGGCAATCACCATGCAGTTTTGTGCCTGGGTGCGAACGGCGTCTCCTCTCGGGGCTCTGCCAGGCCCTCGACCCCCACGGGCGGGGGCGCTCAGCCACGCCCTCTGCCGGGCGACTCTCGGCGCCCGCCTGCCAGCCACCAGGCCCCTAGGTTCGAAAAGGGTCCCTCCCCCGACCCGTCGGGGGGTAATTCCCCCAGGGGCGGGGGTATCATCAACCCCCCTCAGCGTGTGGAGAGGAACTTCACGGCCACTCATCGGTCCGCTGGACCCTTCTCACTCCCGTTAGCTGAGTGGCCGCGACTGGTGTACCACTGTACCCCATTTGATGGAGGCCGCCCTGGCTAGCTGCCGCCTTAGCTCCCACCACGGCCGCCTCCACTGAGCCTTAAGCCGTCAACAGTCCACTTGTCAAAGTGTTCTGTTGCCGACGGCCTCAGTGAAGGCGTACAACCCGAGTGGCGACTGTTAGCGGTTCGCGCTCTATTGGTCTCGGGTTCACGCCGTGTGGCCTCCACTTGGTGGTGGGAAGATTGGGGCCCCCCTGGAGCGTTGAGCTGTCAAGGGGTATTAGATTTAGTTTGGTCGAGCGTTGCGTAGTACGGCATGCATTACACACCGGCATATCGTCCGATCATCACGTCGGTTTCACCACTGTGGCGGGGAGAAGGAAGGGAGATCTCCCGCCGGGCAGTGTATTCTGCCCAGGGAGCGGCCAACGCTCCGATTGGTAGGTAGTTCGGAACTATTCTATATATGCTGCTTTAACTTCGAAACTTTGTTAGTGCGATTTAGGCTTCGATGTGTTTCGCTTGTGCCGCAACTACAGCGCCGCCACACATACTTTATTCTATACCATTCTCTAGCAGGCTAAATTCTCTATACATATATCTTTGTTTCTTTCTAGTGTCGCCTTTTCGTTTCATCGATTTTGAAATGACAATGATTCAAAAGAAGTTTTCAGTTGAAAGCAAAGATGGTTTTACTGACCGGCTGTGCAGACGCCCGCGCGGCCGGCGCGGCCCGCCATCTGGCGGTAGGCGGCCAGCGACAGCGCGCGGCGGCCCACGCGCGGCGCGCGCACGATGACGCGGCGCGCCGGCAGGTTCACGCCCGCCGCCAGCGTCGACGTGCAGCACAGCACCGACACCGCGCCCGACCTGCCACACACTGCGCTCACTACGCTGCCTAATTTTTTTTTTTTAATATTTATTGTAGCATCGGCTACAAGGGCTTCAGCCAAAAAGAATACATCACACGCTATAACATATTTTTGAAGTGAAAACTTCTTTAAAATCGTTGTGATTTGAAACTCGTTGAAATGAAAAATCGACACTAAAAAGAGAAAAATATATACATCTAGAGAATTTAGTATATAGGGATAGATATGAGATATAATACTGCAGTGTCTCCTATAATGTGATTAGAAATGGTAGTTAATATGATGATATTAAAAAAATTAAGTGTGTAATATGTTATGTATTGTATATCTGCATTCGTCTCATTCTCTCGAAGTTTGTTTTTAAATATAAATCTGTTAAAAATTTTCTTCACAATTGTTGATTCGTCACAATGCGATGTTTTGGATACATTTTAATAACTACTCAAGCCTTCAGACAGACAGATGACGATATTACAAATTACAAAGACGTATGGCGAGAACCAAAAACCTTCTTTATTAATACGTAGTCGTCAGATTTAATAACGTTTTTAATTATAGTTATTTTAAGCAAATTTAACAGTAGTAGAGCCACGCGGCAACTTTTGCTGTCGCACGGATGGGCCGGCTCGAACCGGGGTGGTACCACGACCTCACAGAATACCAGCGTGAAGTAGAGGTTTACCTCTGCGTTTCACTCGGTGAGTGCAGGTGGCCGGAGGCCCTTTTTACTGGAAATGAGGCATTCCATCTTAGTCCTCACGGGTGGCAACGCATCTGCATTTTGATTCGCAAACGAGGATAGATGTAGATGTCTATGGGCCGCAGCAACCACTTACCATCAGGTGGACTGTGTGCTCGTTTGTCACCCTTATCCTATAAATAAAAAATACCCAATGTGCATTGCGAGAAGTAATGCGTAATTCTTATTAAAGTAACACATATAACAATATGACAATAGGTCTCCTTTTCTGTTTACGAATCCATCTGGGTAGGTACCACCCCCTAGCCTATTTTACCCGCTAAGCAGTAGTACGTGTATTATCTGAACGGTATAGAGTTACCTCAGCTAGTCAGTATAGTAACAGGCTGTGAGGAATTCTATCTTAGTCCTTAGAGATTTCTATGAAGTTGATAGCAGGTACCATGGGCTGCAGTCACTTGCCATTAGGTGGACTGTGTGGAAATTCGTTTAACACTTCAATTTTATACAAAAAAAAAACATAGATCGGCTAACTCTAAACATTTGTCACGATTGTTGGGGCTAACTAAATGTAAGAAGTCTTGTTTGCGCATAGTTTGCGTGTGCGCATAGTAAGTGTGCGTGTGCACGCGGGTGTTGCTTGTGAGTGTGCGTGCAGGTGTGCGTGTGCATATTCATGTACGTGGGCGTGTGTGTGTGAGCTTAAGTTTGCTTGGGTGCGTGAGTGATGCGCTGTACCCGAAGGCGGTCTCCAGCAGCGCGCATTTATTGACGGAGAGGCCGGCGTGGTTGTGCGTGTAAGTGTGCGTGAGAATGGGCGTGTGTGTTAATGTGCGTGTGCGTGTGAGTGTGTGTATCAGCGTGCGTGTGCGTGTGTGTATATGTGTGTGTGGGTGTGAGTGGATGTGTGTATTTCGGTGTGTGTGGGTGTGTGTGGGTGTGAGTGGATGTGTGTATTTGGGTGTGTGTGGGTGTGAGTGGGTGTGTGTATTTGGGTGTGTGTGGGTTGAATGGGTGTGTGTGGGTGTGAGTGGGTGTGAGTGTGTGGGTGTGAGTGTGTGTGTGTGTTGTGTGTGTGTGTGTGTGTGTGTTGTGTCTGGGTGGGTGTGTCAGCGTGCGTGTGCGTGTACATGTGAAAGTGCGTGTACGTGTGCGTGTGCGTATGTGTGTGTGTGCGTGCGCATGCACACGTGCGTAGCCGTGTGCGTGTGCATATTCATGTACGTGGGCGTGTGTGTGTGAGCTTAAGTTTGCTTGGGTGCGTGAGTGTGCGTGTGCGTGTGCGTGTGCGAGTGCGTGTGCGTGTACCTGAAGGCAGCCTCCAGCAGCGCGCGCTCGTCGGCGGAGAGGCCGGCGTGGTGGAAGGCGACGCCGCAGCGCACAAGACGCGCCAGCGCAGCACCGCCCTCGGCACACAGCGCCCGGGCTACCGCATTGCGTTCTTCCGCTCGGTGCGTCAACATCTCCCTGGCGCACAGCAAATGAATTCACTTCATGATACTAGTAAGTCTGTGTTCGAATTTCGACCTAGTCGTACTTGTAACAAGGAAAAGCTGTTTGTATTAGTATAATATATATTAGTCTGTGGTTCAAACTAGAATCTGTTACACAAAAGAAGTTGAAATGTTAAAGCACAGACCTACTACACGTACACTTTCAACTTAGGTGGCCACTTAATTGTGTCTTTATACAGTGAGTATTGCCAGGCCTCTGTCACTCTTGCTACCTGCGTAATATAAATGCCAACAAACGCGTGTAACTTCAGGTAACTGTCAGGGCTACCGCGTTTTAGACGAGCGACGTATAAGGCCGGCCACATACATACGGAATTCCGTTTCGAGATTCCGTTTCGAGATTCCGTTTCGAGATTCCGTTTCGAGATTCCGTTTCGAGATTCCGTTTCGATATTCCGATTCGGAATCCCGAACGCAGCAAGTCCATATAAAATCTATGACCCGCCACACACGTACGGTAGTTTTCCGTTCGATATTTTGTGTGGCCGACCGTTTGAAATTCCGAAACGGAATCTCGAAACGGAATTCCGTATGTATATGGCGGGCCTTAGTGAATTTCAAAGTTTTTTAACCCTGTTTACGTAAATAGATTTTATGTATAACCTTAATGACCTTATGAATATTTTTATATAATATGAATAAAATGATGTCCGCATTCAGCTCTTCGAGGAGACGGTGTACTACTACCCGAATAAAGGGTAAGACTTAGCGGGGTTGCGTCTTAATAAATATTGGTCTACATGCAGGCAAACTCTAGCGGTACCTAGTGAAAAAATATTAAATGGCGAAAAACAAGATGGCCGCCATACAAATTTAAGAGATATTACTCGGCAAAGGTGACAAAAAAAAACATTTTTAAAAACAAGTTTTTAGTGAAATGCTTATAAAAGAAGAAAATAAACTTGAAACTAAATTAAAATCATCTATTTATTACATTACACAATTTATATGATATAAAAGGTTGACGCGAGATCTACCTGTGTACATAAAGAAGTATACAATATATAACTTGATATTGACGTATAAGTAGGCAAGAAGATAAAATAAGATAAATATCGCGATAAGCTTTTATATCAAATAAATTGTGTAATGTAATAAATTGATGGGTTTGATTTAATTCAAAGTTCATTTACGTCTTTTTAGAGCATTTCAATAAAAGCCTGTGCTTTAAAAATGTTTTTTTTACTATTATTTATTACTAGTAACGAGGCATTCGAGGCAATCTTAGAACACAGGTATGACAACGCACCGATTGCTCTTGATTTTTGAATCCAGGATACAAATATTTGGACCGCATTGACTTATTTCTATATAGACAAAATAATACATATATCTTACTTTCTCTGTAGTTTGCAAAGCAGTGACGCGACGTTTTCACAATTCTTTTTAGTTGGACAGAACACCAGGCAAGAAGCGGCGGGTACCACTTCAGATACCAATCCTCCGAGATAATCCGGGTCCAACGACGTTGCAGCCGCCGTATACTGCAGACACACTTTGCATATAAAACCAGCCACGCACTTCCCAAATTAATTATAGTAATACATATTACACGTTAGAGTAAACATTTTTAGCGTTCATCGTGTAATTCTTGACCCATTTGAGGCAGCGTAAGAGAATTCATTGGGTATATATTTTTTTATAGGATAAGGGTGACAAACGAGCACACAGTCCACCTGATGGTAAGTGGTTGCTGTGGCCCATAGACATTTACATTTTTTACATTTATCCTCGATTACGAATCAAAATGCAGATGCGTTGTCACCCGTGAGGACTAAGATGGAATGCCTCATTTCCAGTAAAAAGGGTCTCCGGTTCTCTACACTCACCATACGAAATACAGCAGCATTAAGCTGCTATTTTACGCTGGTATTCTGTGAGAGCGTGGTCCTTCCCCGGTCGAGCCGACCCATTCGTGTTACAATTATACCAGAAATATAGCTGCAGCATGGCTCTACCACGTATATAGATGGCATAAGAGGCAACTATTGGAAAGACCAGAAAAACTTCATGGACTCCGATAAATGACGTCTGGTATTTCTAATCCGCAGCAGTATATTTTTTCAAAATTACCGGCGGCGAGAAACTAAAAATCATTTAAAAAGAAAACATTCATTTCGAACCCAATAACAGACGTTATATCTGCCATTTAACGCGCGCTATCATATTATTGTGTACATAGCAATTTAAAAAAAATGTCCTCTACAAAACACGAGAAATTCCAAATGAGGTAACTATTTTTTTTATAGGATCGGGTGACAAACGAGCACACAGTCCACCTGATGGTAAGTGGTTACTGTGACCCATAGACATCTACATCCATCCTCAATAAAGACTCAAGATGCAGATGCGTTGTCACCCCTGAGGACTAAGATGGAATGCCTCTTTGCCAGTAAAAAGGGTCTCCGGTTCTCTACACTCACCATACGAAACACAGCAGCGTTAAGCTGCTATTTTACGCTGGTTTTCTGTGAGAGCGTGGTCCTTCCCCGGTCGAGCCGACCCATTCGTGCTACAACCATAATATAGCTGCAGCATGGCTCTACCACGTAGGATTTTAAAGAAGAAAACATTTCCTGCAAGGTATATAAGGCCAGTCTGAAAATGGCACATAGGTACTGCAACAATGAACAGTACTAAAAAAATGTAATTTTAATAAATAACATAAAAATGTAATTGTTATTTAAAATTCATGTTTTTAGTACATTATGCAACTTAAAATTCAGCTAATTTTAAAATCTGTAAACACCGTTGCTAGGGACGGTATCATTGTACTTTTGGTGGTATTGTTACGAACAACTTTTTAACCCAGCAGTTTTTACATATTGCATACAGATAATATAATGACTCACATCATATTTTAATTGCCTGTCTGGTACCAACTCCATACCATTTTCATTCCACACTATCCTGTTCAGAACATTCCCAAGTTTCACATATTCTGTAAGTTCCACCGGCCTAAATTCCCTTTGAAACACATCTGCGTGCAAAAACTGAGCGATTTCATTTAGGTTTCCTATTGTAGCACTCATTCCTACTATTTGAATACCTTCTGTAAAAAAAAAACACATAGTTCATGAAAAGTCGAAACTATAATCCTGGTGACATTAAATTACCAGGACAATTATATAGAATGTCATTTAACGTGGTCATTGAAAACACCATACTTTAGGGTATTCTATATTTATAATTAATACTTAAAGTACGTGTTAATCATCAATTATAAATAGGCCGTAAGGTACGTTGGGGTAAGATCGGTGATGGGGCAAGACCGTAGGATTCAAATTCCCGGCGAATTATGCTATATTTTGAAAAGCTAACAATATGCTACACGACGCCATTTCATCCTGCCCCGACCCTCAGGTCGCGCCAGTCACTCCGGCAAGTGGGACCTGTGCTGCGTGGCATTTTATAAAACAATGTAATTTTTGTATTATTTTTGTCCATCCGATCTTTCCCTATCACTTTTATTTACGATTTTTAGCGAGAATATGGCTTCTTTTGTTATTATTTTGTGTGGATACTAATTTTTATGAAGTTATAGCTAAATAAAGCTGGTCCATGCAAGGGTAAGATCGCTGTAGGCCGAGACCCGATGTTTCCCCTCGTGAGTGAAGATCGGATGAATATTATCCGATCTTTGCCTGTTACAAATATGGCAGTAGTTGTTAAACTTTCATTGGTCGTGTATATTTTTTCGTTGATTACTCAAGTGACTATGGGACTCAGTCTCGTTAGCAAGTCTGTATATTTAAAAGTAATAAAACAATACGATGGTTTTATTACTTTTAAGTACACATTAAAATACATTTTTTTTATAGGATAAGGGTGACAAAGGAGCACACAGTCCACCTGATGTTAAGTGATATATCTATCCTCTATTACAAATCAAAATGTAATTTATAATAATTATTTAAAAAATAATTTATAATAATAAATGCTGCTTTGTTAAACTATTTATATCTTCCTTAACTCCTGCATTATCCCAGGGCATTTCGCCAGTCCTTACTGTTATTTTTTTTCCCATATAAAATCAAATGCATCCGATCTTTCTCTTATATTGAGTAATTCCATCTTGTCATAACAAAGTTTGAGAAACATAAAATTACAATTTCTTTATATCAGGGATAAGATCGGATGGCAAGAAACAAAAAAAGAGAAAATCGTTTGGAACATTTATGTTTCGAGTAATTTATAGATCATATTGAAATATGTCTTTTAGCGTTAAAGATAGGACAAATCTCTTTTATAAACTTTTTTCTCTAAGCAGTAGAAGTGGTTTTAAATTTAAGTCCGGTCTTACCCCTTAATGGCCAATTTTTCATTATGCATATAAAAAAGTATGTCTAGTTTTCGCACACCTTTAAAGCAGAAACCGTTGAGTTTACACAAGCAAAAGATTCTCAGAGCTAAACTACGTTTAACGATTAACGGTTTGCTCCATGTTCCATAAATCTGACGTATACGAATGTCGAGAAATTAAAGTTTTTGGCAGACTCTTCCAACTATTCGAAAATCCGTCCGGTATTACCCCAACGTACCTTATAATATAATTATGAGATATATTTTTTTTATAGAAGAGGGGGCAAACGAGCATGCGGCTCACCTGATGGTAAGTGACTACCGCCGCCCATGAACAACTGCAACACCAGGGGAATTGCAGATGCGTTGCCGGCCTTTTAAAAAGGAATAGGCTGTTTATATTTTTATATTATATTATTTTATTTTTATTTATATTATAGACTTATGTGAATATATAGTTTATACTTACTATTAGCGAAAATTACAGTCGTTAATAAAGTTTCGAGTGTGCCACCGCGTCCTTCTTCTCCTATTAAATGAAGTTCGTCAACCTACAGACAATAACATTTGTGACTTTACATAAGCAGAAAAATTAATCAATTGTAAATATAGTGCCACTTAAAAGTAAAAATTTATGAGCATTTTGTCTAGACGTATTTCCAAAAATAAAAGTTCCTTGCACAATTACTAGGACTTTTTGGCGCGTTTATGGGCACTGTGGTAACTCTTAGGCTGGGCGCTGGACCTTAACTTCATAGTACACAAGCAACCCAGTAAATGACTAATTAGGTCAGAATATTTTTTGCATGGCATCTTTATGCGGTACAGACGTGCTGCAGCTAAATTATGAATGTAGCACGAATGGGATGGTTTGACCGGGGAAGGACCCACGCTCTCACAGAATACCAGCGTGAAATAGCAGCTTAAAGCGACTCCCACACACGACGGCGCGAGCTCGCTAACACACACGCGATGGCGGATGGTCGGACATGCGGCCGCGGCAGCCGCTCGCAGGCCGCGACATAGCCGCACGTGTTTGCAGACTCACTTACATTGCAAGCGAATAGAATAGGCCGCCGCCGCAAGCCACGTGTGTGTGGGAGACGCTTAATGCTGCTGTTTCGTATGGTGAGTGCAGAGAATCAGAGAATCTTTTTACTGGAAACAAGGCATTCCATTTTAGTCCTCAGGGGTGACAACACATCTGCATTTTGATGCTTAATCGAGGATAAATGTAGATTTCTATGAGCCACAGCATCCACTTAACATCAGGTGGACTGTGAATCACTAGTTATCCTTATTCTATAAAAAAAATATTTTGAAAATATCTGAAGTTTTGCCAGACCCATTTTTGGGCTGCGATTCTGTGCCAAATCTTCAAACTTCTTTAGGAATCGCTATGTATCCTGCCCCAAAACTCACAGATCTTAATAGGCAAATGTTTTGGAGGTTCACACACAATAATTAATTCGGAGAAATAATATATTTCTATATATGTATAATACAAACGAGAATAAAAACGATAATCACATTTTTCCTAACTCCTCACAGTTCAAGTAATAATGGGAAAGTCTGAAAGGATGGATATAAAGATAAATTTGAGGTTTAGGCTATTTCATTTTATACCAACTACAAACAGTAGGAGGTACTCAATTTGACTGTATGTTTTTTATGCGTGTTACCTCATAACTTTTTTCTGGGTGAACCGATTTCGATGATTCTTTTTTATTTGAAAGCTGGTGCTTCACATGTGGTCTCATATAAATTTGATCAAGGTCTGACCAATAGTTTTAGAGTTATTCTTAACAATTTAAATTGAATTCGGTTGTACAAAAAGTTTAATTTTTAAATATGATCTTGTAATTTGGTTAGATTCCACTTACCACTATTAGCCCAATCTCGTCCAGTCTGTCCAACTCAATAAGACTCCGTATTAAGGCAAGGCCCTTTTCAATAGTCGCTATATAGATACTATTCTTTTTACGCCTTTTCTTTGGCGGTATATGGCCTTTACCGGCAGCATATTCCTCTACTAAAAAATCGAGCTGAACAGCAAACGGTGATAAGGACCATATCTAAATAAAGAGGACAATTTGATTTTAGTTATTTTTACTCACTATAAGCTCTTATCTTATTACTTAATTTGTATATATTGTCCGTACAGGATATGATAAATAGAAATATGTTCATCATATTATTTTATATAAAACTAGCAATCCGCTCCGGCTTTGCATGAGTGATTCTGGATCTCTACAACACCTACCACGTCCAATTGTAAATTATAGCCATTCAGGGATCCAAACATAACAATTTCATCAGAACTGGTTGAGTCAGTTTCAAATTTTAGCGAGACTAACAGACATCAATTGATTGTTATATACAGGGTTATTTTGCAATAACCGGCTAAATTTGCAGAGAAGGTTCAGAATAAGTAATATAGACAAATGGTGAAGAAAAATCAATTCAAAAAATCTCAAACATTCTGTCCTTTTATCTTTTAAATTCAATTTTTTTTTAAACATTACCCCCACACTAGAATTTTCTCCTGTATCGTGAAGGCAGTTTACAAACACAAATTGCACAAGGACAAACATCCAGACCTGGAACAATTATTTTTAGGCCATACAAATACTTTGTTCCGTGCGGGATTCGAAGCCGCGGCCCCCAGCGCAGCAACTCATTGCTAAGCCACTGCGCCACGGAGCCGTCTTGCGTTGCGTAATGCATTATTTTAACTGATTTTACTGTGTACGCACAAATTTGTAAGGGTCGATCGGTAAGCAAAAACGTTGTTGCCCATAAATCACATTCAATTTGGGATAATTTCAATGAAAGTAGAAGCCTTATTTACTTGTACTTTCAAAAACTACAATGACAGTCTATTATTATTTATATATTTGAACTTAAGTTTAAAATTTGGCTACTCTTTGAAAAATAAACTTGTATAGAGATTAGGCAATCTTCCAAACCTCTAAATGGCCTTAAAATATGAAAAATGTTCAGTAAGTAAAATAAATAAATTTGCAGTTTTGGTTATTTACATATAACTGGTAGTTATTTCGCCATCCATTTAGTCGACTACTACAACACTCATGGAATGAAATGGTTTGTTTCTATGGTAAAAAATTATTGAAATTCATTGAAGTGGTTCCAAGCACTAAAGTCCAACTCTAGTGAGATATCAGTGTGTTGTGCACACACGTAAGCAAGTAAATTTGGTACCGCCTGTTGATCACTATAGATTCAAAAAAGCTTCACAAGGTGATTGCTGTACTTGCAACTTCCAAGTATTTTGTATAGTCAAAATATACACCATAAAATTAATTATTGTAACTAACAAGTTTAAAGTTACAACCTATATACGTCCCACTGCTGGGCACAGTCTTCTTCCCATTTCTGAGAGGGTGTTAGGGCAAGGAAAGGTCCGCCGCGCTGCCCCAATGCGTGTTGGTGTACTTCACATGTCTTCGAAATATTTTTTTTTCTTATTTTTCAGACATGCAGGTTTCCTCACGGTGTTTTCCTTCGCCGCCGAGCACGTGGTAAATCAGCACAAATTGCAATTAACAATTTCATTGGTGCCGGCGGGTATCGAACCTGGGTTTTCGCGTACTGTGAAACTTACAGCGGGCACTAACCATCTGAACTACAACGGCTCTACTAACAAGTTTCAAAGTAACATTACACTATAACAATGTATTTTCTAAGTGGTTGGACTGTTTTTCTGGCTATGAACTTATCTGGATAGGTAGGTGGTACCACCGTCTTACTTATTTCGAGCACCAAATAGCAGTGCTTGCACTTCTGTGTTCCAGTGTGACATGCAAAGATAACCAGTACAATTACAGGCTGATAGGCATTCTATCTTAATCCTCAGAGGTGACAAAGCACCAGTAGCCTTCTTTGTTTGAAATTGGTTGCCATTAGACCATGGTTTGTCTCGTCTTTTGTAATGCGTACAGCAAAGGAGTGGAATAATTTGCCGGCGTCTATCTTTCCGTCCGAATACAATCTGGGCGTCTTCAAGGCAAGAGTGAATAGGCTTTTGTTACGATAAGACAATGCGATTTACCATCTAGGGCTGCGTCACCACTTATCATCAGGTGGAATTCCGGTCAAGCACTGGCTTATAATAAGTAAAAAAAAATTCATGCGACAAAACGTTGGAATCTTAATTTTTAGGCCCTAGTAGAACATACCGACGCACTTTAGCGCTTACGGCATGCAAAACAAGTCTTCAGTAGCCTCTTATCATCAGGTACACTGTAATTTTATTTATCACTTCAATTTTATTAAGCAAAATCATCATCATCATCACCATTATAGCCCTTCACAAGTCTGCTGCTGAACATAAGCTTTCCCCAAGGAATGCCACCTAGCACGGTCCTGAGCCACCTGCATCAATCGACTTCTTACATACCTTACTAGGTCGTCACTCCATCTATTGAGGGCCGCCCTACACTTCATCAACCAGTACAAGGCTGCCACTCTTCTTTTCCTTCCCATTGATTGTTAATTCTTCGAGCTGTATGGCCAGCTCATTGTTACTTTAGCCTACTAATCCGTTGGGCTATGTCGGTTACTCTGATTCTACTGTGGATATTTTCATTTTAAAGTCTATAATGCAGAGAAACCCTGAGCATAACCCTCTCCATAGCTCGTTGAGCTTCCTCATATGGCCAGCAGTGAAGGGCTATGGCTGAGATCCATAAGTAGTCACTGACAATGCACTGGTTGTACAATTAAGTAAAATATACATTTTAATTCATTAAAGATTTACCTTCTCTTGAACTATAGCAACAAAAGGCAGAATAAATAATGCATTATGTTTTCTGTTCATCACTTCCCGTAACATTAGAATTTCAGCCACTAGAGTTTTGCCACCACTTGTTGGCAACGCATAAATCAGATTACGTCGCTCACTAATCGCATCTAAATTCAGGCACTCTTCCTGCCAGTCTGTAGTGTAAAAATTAAAAAAAATGTCATCATTGATATTGGAGTAAATAGACATTACATACTAATCATTCTAGTCCAATAAGAAACTATGTCATAATTATTTTTTAACCAATAAGCAGATTTTTAGGCAGGCACAGGCCTGGAGTTAAAGGTTGAGGAGATTCAGACATTGACTTATATATTATTAGCATAAGGACAAAGCAAACTACACATCTAAATGGCATCAGTGCGCTGGCCCTAAAATTACAGTTTAGGGCCAATGCAATTCAGGCGACAGTGGTCCACACGTAGAAGAGATAGAATATTTGCTTGTCATAAATATACGTAGTTGCGTGGTAAAAGGCTGCAAAAATTACGATAAGTTAAAAACGAACATAGGATATGGTATCATTAGTAAGTAACCTTACATTAATTTTGTTTCAAATAAATTATTATATAAACACATTTTTAAAGTTTTATTTTAATACGGAAGTCCAAAATGACAGCCATTATTTGGCCAGTTATGTTACACAAGGTTATGCCAGGATTGGTTTCAGACCCTCAAAAAAAATTATACATGGAAAATAAAATTATACTATTTGTCCAAAATTATACCATGTTTGACATTTCATTTGTTTTGAATTGAAATAAAATTGCATCATGATTATGTTCATAGCAAATTCAAAAATATCATCTCTCTTGCGCTCATTTATAAAATACATCTATCCTTCTCTGTCAGAATGACCTGGATGGTAAATCATCACACTAGGAATCCTCGCCTAACATATCATTGCCTGATTGAGTGTTGCCATACATACAGAAATTCTTGATATTGTAGGGTAAATATTATAATGTAAAAAGACCCACTAATAAAACAAGTCATTTGACTCTGAAGATAAAATTATGGTATTTTCGCATGGTATTGTGGTATTATGATACTACATACTACCCAATGCCAATGCAATGCTGCATTCATGTATGTGTTATGACAGATGGTGCTACTTTTACTTGTATGAAGAAGTTATAAGTAAAATGTTTAGATGGGCATATCCTTCTTTTTGTAATCATTGTATTAAGAGACTTAAATTTTCCACCAGGCCATTCTTTCATCTCAATGTAAGATTTAAGAAAGTGAAGAGTAAATTGTGTGAAACAATCTGTTAAATATTTGTTGCCTGAAGATGAGTATTTAAAAATATTACAGATATAACATAACTTTTCAAACTTTCATTCAAGGTAGCAATTAAATTATTCACTAAATTCCAAAAGTACATGAACACTACTAACCATATAATTTTTCTATATTTCTATAAGTCTTAAATAAACCCTTTGTAATCTTTGGTAACTGATAAAAATTATCCTTTGGCACATTATTTCTATTAACTAATTTTACAGCTTTATTTATTTGACTTGGTTGAGTTACAATATCTGTAATACATTCACCAATATCAAGGAGAAAAGAATCTTTAGTCTCCATAAAGGAATCTCTGTCATTTTTTATAACACTTATTGATTGATTTATTGCTTCAAAACCATCATTGATTTCATCCCTGAAATGTTTTTCACACCTTGATGTTAAGATTTCCTCGTCAATATGATTTTGCTGACTTGATTCTTGCTCTAATTTTGATTGAAACATATCATCTGATATATCATCAATTTCATTAGCTACTTCAGAAGATACAGTTTTATTGTTGCTGATTACGAATGACTTCCAATTCTCACCATCTTTAACAAAACAAGATTCTAAAATGCCCGGAGAACATGGAATATCCTCACTTGTATTGTTTCCCGAGTCACTCAAATATTCCACTTGATTGCATGGCAGAGGAGGAGAATCACAACCATCCACTAAAGTGATCTTCTTAGGAGTATGTTTCCACCGGTGAGATGTAAATTTATCTGATAAATCATTATTACTGTTCATAATTTGAGATGCTCTTATAATTCTTCCCGTACCTAGCCGGCGCCTTTTTGGTGTTGAAATAGTGCTTTCGATATTATTCTTATTATGAGAATTCATTTTATACCTTATACTATGCTTATTTATTTTGTAGAAAAATTCATCATAAGCTTAAAAGTTCATTATTTAGGTAATTAAAAAATAAATCTAAATTCTCAACCGTCTTTGTAATTTTGTTTACATGAAAATTTGAATTTGATTTTTGATTATTTGTTGTTGTTGTTGTTTTTATTATTTGCTCGCGAAAGCAGGCAAAAGAACTAAGCCATACAGCCTTGTCTTTTTTATTTTCAATATATAGAATTTTAAAGTATAAAGGTCGGAACCAGGTCTTATTTTTCTTCTTTCCATCTCTTCAAAATCCAAAAGGCCGAAGTCAAGTCTTCTTTATATTATATTCTTTGTAGGTTTCAATCCGTGTAGATTTGTCAATCCAATATTTTCAAAAACAGGGATACCATATTTCATATTTCTTTTACAGTATTATGAATAAAATTGCAAAGTGCTAAATACGTCTTAGTATTCCTAAGAACATCTTGCAGGGCACGCGGGACGCTTTCTGAGTTTTCATAAATTTGTATAAGTTTTTCAATGAATCAATCTTTCAATGGCGTTCAGTCGATAGTGGCAAAATCTAAGTCTGCACATTATTGTATAAAATTTTCTGCTATGATATCTCTCGTTGCGAGAAAACCAAGGAATACTTAATTCTGAATTAATTGATGCATACCAACGACCTTTTCCTGCCTCTAAAACAGCATTCCATTGCATTTTCCATTCTTCTTTTAACAGTTTCTTTAAAATTGAATATAAATCTGTATGTGGTATTGCAACATCGGTTATCTTTGATTACTTGACATTGACAGTTTGACAAATTTGACAAATAACTTTTTTTTGTTTCTGTGGTTTTGAAATCGTACGAAAATACTTTTACCAGTTTCGAGTAATAAAAAAAATATGTGACACATCAACAAATATTATACACAATATGTAACACATCAGCATATTGCGAAATTTTAACTCATCAAAACCAGAAAAATCCAAATGGATTTATTACTAAGAACCCTTCCAAGTCACAAAATTAAATTTACCGATAGACAAGGACAGAGATAGGAAACGTCGTAGTTGTGCGAGCGAAATCGCGTTAGATAATTGCGTATCGTGTCTCTCGCGCATGTTTGTATTATCTATCTCGCTCTCACAAACATGGCGAATCCAACAACAAACAACATTATAATTTAAAAAAAAATTTTTTAGCTATAATTATGAGTGGTAAGTAATCCCGTGTATCTTATTTTTATTTCTTGAATTATTAGAACACTGTTTAGCTGCACAAGAAGTCATTCAGAGTCTTTTTTATGTCAACTCTCAATTCCTTTAGTAGTTTCTCTATTTCTGATATTTTGGTGCCTTATATAACTGTATCAACAACTCAACACAACCGTTCTGCAGCGTCCGTACAGTTAACGCCCTCTACGGAAACTCCACAGTACTAATTAATACATATCTCCGCTAACTCAATAACTAACTAATCGAAAAATCGATCGATGTCTTTGAGCGTGGCAAGTGGTTTTGATGATTGAAAATAGATGTCGCTGTTATTGCGCAGACACGGGTCTTGTTGGATGACAAAGCAAAAATAACTTTGTTGTTATAGGTTAGAAACATGTGTTTTTTTTCACTAATAATATTATATTATTATTATTATTTTTTATATTATTATTTATATTTGGATAAGAACTTAGTAATGACTCTAAGTTATATTTACCTTCATTTTAAAAAAAATTGTCTTTGGCCTGATCCACTATATATATGTATAATAGTAGGTCAGGCCTGATATACTATATACTCTTTGGCTTGACAATAGATCTAATAAATTTGGTGGTTATTATAAATGGCTCAAGTGGTGGTGCTTTGGGATTTTGGTGACAGTTTAACCCAGCAGACAATTTATGACGAAAGCATCTCAAGTTCTTAATTTGCATATACGGATGAAACAACTTGTCTTTTCCACTAATAGTTCACTTGAGCAGATACTAATACACATAATCGCAACACTACTTTTCATTAATGAAAATTCAGTCCAGCCCAATAATTAAACGACTAAACAGGAGCAAAAACCGCTTGCGGCAACTTCCACATAAAAGTCCAATAGATGTTTTAAATTCGTAATGAGATCATAAATAAATAAAAATATTGATGTACAATTTTTTACTGAACATCATTTATTTCATCAAGATCAAAATCAACTTCGTTGCTTAGGTGATTAAGAGATGTTGCAAGCACACTGACCTCCATATATACTATTACCACAGTCTATAAGTCCATACAGTCGTCCCACGAAGACGTTTAGACAGGGCAATCGTGCGGGGTGTGAGGGGTGAGACGCGGGAAGGACGAGCCCGAGCTTCTTATGCCAATCGTATTAGTAATTAGTAGCTCGGGACACGACTTCCAGGGTTAACGCGCGTTTGCCTTTATGATATTTAAATTTAGTGTTGATACTTATAATTAAAATGGTTCATACGACGTGTGGTATGAGAGGTTGCAAGTCGTCATCTTGCGTAAATAAAGATCTGCGATTTCGCCAGATCCTGCACACGGAAGAAAGGTAAATAAATATTGTTATTATTTTTTACATTATGTATATTTTGTCATGTCATGCCAAATTGCCAACGCAAAAAAATGGTGGACGTAAAAAATAGGTACTAGTCGCTGGGCATTACTGTTCCGAAGTTTTTTTTTTCTTCATCTAAATCGTGTGGTTGGACAGGCTTAGGTTTTAGACCATACTATAGTGCTTCGTCTTCGGATTTTTGGAAGTTTTTTTTATAAAATATTAAGATTTAGGGGCCAATTTTTAGGTTTGTCGGGATGCTAATTACGAAAATAGGATTTATTTTTAAATCCAAGATGGCGGTTATTTTTAATATATGTATGATATGGATGTTAATTTCGAGGTTTATTGGGGTGATAATTACGAAAATGACATTCATTTTTATATCCAAGATGGCGGACATTTTTTTAGTAATATGATATTGGTATCAATTTCAAGGTTTCTTGGGGTGTTGAATCTGAAAATGGTATTCATTTTTAAATTCAAGATGGTGGATATTATTTTTTTTTAATTTTATGGATGTCAATTTCAAAGTTTCTTGGGGTGTTGATTACGAAAGCGGCATCCATTTTCATATCCAAGATAGCGGACATTTTTTAATAATATGATATGGGTATCAATTTCGAGGTTTCTTGTGGTGCTGATTGTTATGGATGTCAACTTAGAGGTTTCTTGGGGTGCCAATTACGAAAACGGCATCAATTTTCATATCCAATATGGTGGATTTTTTTTAATAATACAATATGGATGTCAATTTTAAGGTTTCTGGGGGTGATAATTATGAAAATTTATTAATAAGTATTGTATTTAAAAATTTCAGATGCAAATTATGGATGGAAGTTATTGGAAGACTTGATTTAGTTGGAAGAACTTTCGAAAGCCTAAAGAATCAATTATAAAATAAACTAATTATTCAATGTCTGTAGTCATTGTAACGTTAATAATAATATGGATTTGATGTTTAGCTAAGAGTTAAGAACGATTTCATGTAGCGAAATTGAGGTATGGCCACATATCAAGAGTAGAGCACTCCTTCACGTTGTGAGGCGTGCAATTAACGTTTTGAGTACTTTCAGAAAAAATTTAAGAACAAATTGTTACTTATTTTTTATATTAGTAATCATACTGTTGATGACGATGTAGATCTAAAATAAATAATTAAATTAGTAAAAGTTGTTAATTTGTGACAACCCTAACCTCCATACGCTGTCTAAACGTTGTCGGCATTTACCACGAGATCAAAGGCGTCGTCCTACTGTATGTTTATTATACTGTGCTAGTACGCTGGACTGGCTAAGTATATCCTACAAAACATTTGTGCCAATTTTAAGTGCTGCCATTGAATGTACCGGGAATCAAATTTGACATAATTAGCAAACGGCCATGGTTTTGCTTAAAACGTCTAAGAGTATTTTAAAGTTTTAAACGAGAAAAAGTGTGTGTGTGTGTAGTTCGGTTATGCACCATGATAGTAATATAACTAAAATTAATTTAGTAACAATGATAATGTAAAATTCATCACCAGAAGGGAAGTGTCCTAACATTCCACAATAAGAGGATTTACACTTTATATTAAAAAAAAAACTATTTGATAATATAAGCGCTTAAAAATCTGTCACTTATCTTATTAAATGTTATTACTAACATATTTGGCTTAAAATTACCTATTTTTGATAAATAATAAAATTCAATGGAGTTGATGAGTCCTTTGTCGATAATATTTATCGTTTATTTTTCTACCTATATCTGTTTACTACAAAGAAAGTTTCTGACAACAGATAATTATCAAATTTTATTTACAGATTCTCAACTGATTTTATACTAAAATTGTGACTAGAAAGCATAATACTTGTGAATTGTGAATAGCGTCCGAAGCTAATTGATTATGACGTCAATGATTTGTGGTATGGTAATCTTTAATGTAATTTAAAGTTTGTAAAATTCTAATTGTACCTATAGATATTGTTGAATGTTGAATAGGCATAATATTTTGGCAGTTTATTGATTTTCTCTATTACGAGGACTAAATGAATGGTTAACATTAAATTCTTAACAAAATTGTATATAATTTTTCAGTTTGTAGTTACCTACATCAGTTTTTTTCTACTCATTTACCTTTTTAAACCTCTCAAATGAACGTATACATACCCAATGGTGAAACTCGGAAGAAAACCCGTTCTATAGTTACGAAGAAAAACGAAGATAGCAAAGCTGCGTCGACTTTTGTTTTATATGAGGTACAAAGTTTGTATCTTATACATAAGTATTAATTGTTACATTTATTTACTGTATGGCATTATATTAAAATGATACATAAATGGAATGGTAGGCCTGCGAACAAATTTTTTATCGATATATTTTGTCACACTGTCCTATCTCTATTATTAGTTCCATGGACGACCACTTCCGATATCAGCGCCAAAATGGCGCATTCGGTAGGAAT